ACATTTTCATTACTTAAAAAAAATTAATAATACAGGAATTAACTATAACTATAACATTATTGCAAAAAAAAATGATAATAATAAATCACGGATTATGCTAACAATAAAAAAATTAACAAATGGAATTAATGTTCTACATTACGGTCCAATTGTACAAAATATTTTGTATTTTTTATACATCCTAAGATTTCATATTGATTAAAATTTTAACAAGAAATTTTATAATTATAATTAATTAATATACCAATTATAAACAAAATCAATAAAACACAATTTTTGTATTNTTTTATAATTATAATTAATTAATATACCAATTATAAACAAAATCAATAAAACACAATTTTTGTATTTAAACATTAATATCATGATTTAAAAATATATTATTTATAGCCTGTAAAAGTTTATATACTGAATAATATTAATATTAGTACTACATGCAGAAGTAGTTAAACAGGTCCATCTATTGAACTGACTTTAATTTTATAATAGTATAAACATTTCCACAATGCAATGAGCAAAAGTACCACAAATGCTAAAAAATATATATATATATCAATTATACTAAACAAAAAGATTTAAATAATTTAAATACAGGTTAGTTTTTAGACTAAATTATTAACATATATACATTAGGAAATATTTGAAATACTAAGGAATGTAATAATTTAAATTACCAAGAAAAAAAAAACTTTTTAGAATTTTTAAAATTTTATTAATTAAATCTTTTTTCTAAATATAACCATCATATTAATTTTATCTTACTAGTTTCATAAATAATTTATAAAATGCTATTTCACATTTAAAAAAGATTCGTACTTGATAACAAAACTTTGTATTAAATTATACTAGAAGGCGTAAGTATGGAGAATATACACAATCGTGGACAAATTTTTCAGTACATATTAGTATGTCATTAAATTTTATAGTTTTCTCACAAAGAAGTAAAAAAAACTGCGATGAAAACGAAAATGTACTATAGGTAAATTTTATATTTATATGAAAGACTTTACAGCTCTGTCTGTTAATCTAAATACTTAAATTACTTACCAATATAAAAAACAAGGTAGGTAGTATGAGACAATACAAATGAATATGTTAAGAAGGTTACAACTCCACCAACAACTAGTACTATAATAGCTATTATTAAGAAAAATATTGCCTTTGCTTTTGCAAATTCAGGTCCAACTGATGATCTGTAGACATAAATTGTTTTTAGGTATTACAACTATAAATTAAAGATTGATATAAGTTTAAAAATATAAAATATTTACACTTTTCTACAGTGTGGACATCTTGCCAATGCATTTTGCAACATATTAAACTGCAATATAAAAATTTATAAACAATGTATTTGAGGTTTATTTTAACAATTAGAGTACCAAAAATGATTGGATTTGTAGAAGCATTCAGGAATTTAAAAAAAATCACTAATAAATACTTACAAGGAATGTATCCTGACAATGTACACAAGTTACACGGCACATTCCTGGAACCTGAGGAACAGGCGGAGTTACTGGACTTGGTGCTAAATTAATAACACGTTTACAATTTGCTCGTGGACATGCAATACGTTGTGAAGAACTTTTACATATCAATAAACAATGGCATAGACATCGTACATATTTTTTTCCTGCTGGAGCACTACGAATTGGCTAAAAATATTAAAATTTTTAAATTTGTAAATAAAAGTATATAAATAAAAAACATACAGTTGCTTCATTACACCGATTACATTTGACAACATGTTGCTCTTTTTTGCCAAGTACATCTATCATTTCTTGACAAACCCTACAAGTAACTTTAGAAGCAGAATTTTCTGGTCCCATTTCTGGAACTGTATATTCTGAATTTCCTTCATTAATGATATTTGTGGAAGGCATGGTACCAGGATCAATTAATGATGATGTAGGCGATTCTATTAACAATATAACACTTTAAAATTTAATAAAGAATAAAAATTCTTCAAGTATTTTTGAATAATTTTTTTTAACTATTTTATTCTGAATAATTGCCATTTAAGTAAATAGTTACTTAAAGTTCATATATATTAAGAGCAATTTTAAAAAAATTATAGATTATCTTTGAACATATAGTACACAACAAACACATTAAACTTTAATTTGAGTAAGTTGTATAGATAATGTTAAGTGATATCGGAAAAAAATTATAACTATTTCCATTGCTTCTTACATATTTACTTGTCTCATCAATTAATTTATATATGCTAATATAGTTAGTTGTTCATAAGAATTCTCAAGTTAAAAATGAATTAGTAAACTTTATTACACATTCTTTTAAAGATATAGTATACTAATAATATAATGATTACACAAAATAAAATCTTAATTTGTGTTCTTAATTAAAAATAAAAAACAAAAAAAATGTATCAAAATATTGAATAAATTTTTATTTAAAATAATAAATACTTATCTACTAAAATTTCTTAGTCCTAACACTTAATTTATTTTTGAGCATAATATAATAACAGAATAATTAAAAAATTACCTGAACTTGGTTGAGGTGTGCTAGAATATGGATATCCATCATTACCATTCAACAATGGTTTTTTTTCATCTGTCAAAGGCATTATAATAGAATGAACATATAATAATTGATGAATGAAAAAACACAAAGAAATTAAATTGATAACCTAAATTATGTTAGTATTATCTATTTAATATCCTTCATTTACTCAAACCAGGTGTCCTCTAAATAAAAAATAAATGAATAATTATCATTATGATTAGTGATGTACATGTTAATATCAATTCTTTTAATTACATAACTACCTAAATTCGAAGATATTGATAGTGAATTTGAAATAATTAACTTCTGTAGTCAAGTCACAGAAATATTTAATTTCATAAAAAATATAACTCTTGGCCGTTAGATAAAAATTCAATACCTTCGACTACAAAAAGCAACTGCGCTTCTCATTTTGTCATCATTCGTCATTTCCTCGTTGCTTATCATCGTTCGCTTACTACGTACTGTGACTACAGATATATTTTAAATAAATAACTATTGGTGTTATCAATGGAATGTGTGAGTATAGAGTCAATCTCCTCTAATTGTCATTTAACAACTACGATTGTTTTTCTGTATGTAAAACACCAATTCTAGATTATTATCTATATGTTTTGTAATTATTGACATTTATCCTTTTTAAAAGGTTATAGACCATTTCTATTATTTTAGGTAAATTGTTTATGAATTTATGGAAACAATAACGCGGTTGGGTTAGGCGTTTTGGCAACAGTTCACTGACCACGCCCTTCGGTCATTCAAATACATAAAGTTTGAATTTATGCTGCACGTATAAAGGCTATTTTTACTCATCTTAAGATCGCAATGTTACCTTTGTCAATGATTCGATGTTTAATTTTATAGTTATTTTATACTTGTACATAATAATACATGTATTATTCAATAATACTTCTGACAATATGAATTCGAGTACAAAAAACTGATTTCTTGTTTTTTATTCTGGAGAATGCCACAAGACAGTTATAGGGCGATCTTCAATTGTACGATAAAGGTTTAATAGACTGTGTAGATAATTAGTTTTATAATCGATAATTTCGGGGCGATCATAATAACTATTCATATCTAGGGATAATTATTCTAATCATAACTACATGTTCCACAAGAAAATACTGTATAATTTTGATAACACGAGCCTTATCTACATTACACCCCACGTGTGGTTATGATAAATATATATTTTGAATTTTAGAGTTTATCTATTTTCAATATATTATAAGTTAAATAATGAAAAAAATTCATTTTTAATTTTTATAAACTACATATTAATTTACTCATAATGCAGAATAATGTTTGTTATATATGTGGTGGTGATGAATTCACTGTAATCGATGGCGCTTATGTATGTAATGAATGTGGTATTCAGTCTCAGGTTAGCTAAATTTTATTATGTATAAGTTAATATAAGGCTGTATTAACATACAATTATAGAACTGCTATAAATTATTTGAATCATCTAATCATGATTTGAAGACTACATTTTTATTGTTTTTGTTTAATTAAATATCTTTTCTCGTAATTATTTTTCCTTAAATAAAACAACAATTATAGATCACATTAAAATCTCTGTCCATATTCTTAACTGAAAATACTACCTGTAATTATTTAGTATGAATATCTTGCGCCTAAAATTAAAGAGTTGTCTTTTAAAAATTAATTTTGAAACTCATAATGATAAATTAGAGATAAGCCTATTATTTAGATCTAAAATATTTTTATTGTAGTATTAAATTCGATTATAATCCATAAAATTTAAGTTAAATTATCAGTATGATAAATATAATGATATGTGTCATGATGATTATTGAACAATAATTTTTGTAAATTATTCACAAAGTTTTAATTTAACAGACTGTAAGAGAAGTGCAAGTAAATTATGGTGAAAATAATAGAAATGGACCAGATGAAAGTGAAAATAGAGATTATGAAATGACAACTGGGTCTCAATTGAGTACTAACAAAAAACTACTGTCGTGGGAATGTTTCAATTTAATATTACTAGGACTTACACAAGAAGTAATTGAACTTGGTGCAAAACCATCACTGAAAATTACAATATTGCAAATATGGGTTCAATATTTGCAAGTAATTGAAGCTGCATTCATATCAAAAAAATCAAAAAAATTTCCTAAATTAAATACTTCTATAATTGATACGTATGTGACTGTATTAAATTAATTATTTNTGTATTATTCAATAATACTTCTGACAATATGAATTCGAGTACAAAAAACTGATTTCTTGTTTTTTATTCTGGAGAATGCCACAAGACAGTTATAGGGCGATCTTCAATTGTACGATAAAGGTTTAATAGACTGTGTAGATAATTAGTTTTATAATCGATAATTTCGGGGCGATCATAATAAATATTCATATCTAGGGATAATTATTCTAATCATAACTACATGTTCCACAAGAAAATACTGTATAATTTTGATAACACGAGCCTTATCTACATTACACCCCACGTGTGGTTATGATAAATATATATTTTGAATTTTAGAGTTTATCTATTTTCAATATATTATAAGTTAAATAATGAAAAAAATTCATTTTTAATTTTTATAAACTACATATTAATTTACTCATAATGCAGAATAATGTTTGTTATATATGTGGTGGTGATGAATTCACTGTAATCGATGGTGCTTATGTATGTAATGAATGTGGTATTCAGTCTCAGGTTAGCTAAATTTTATTATGTATAAGTTAATATTATAAGGCTGTATTAACTTACAATTATAGAACTGCTATAAATTATTTGAATCATCTAATAATGATTTGAAGACTACAATTTTATTGTTTTTGTTTAATTAAATACCTTTTCTCGTAATTATTTTTCCTTAAATAAAACAACAATAATATATCACATTAAAATCTCTGTCCATATTCTTAACTCAAAATACTACTTGTAATTATTTAGTATGAATATCTTGCGCCTAAAATTAAAGAGTTGTCTTTTAAAAATTAATTTTGAAATTCATAATGATAAATTAGAGATAAGACTATTATTTAGATCTAAAATATTTTTATTGTAGTATTAAATTCGATTATAATCCATAAAATTTAAGTTAAATTATCAGTATGATAAATATAATGATATGTGTCATTATGATTATTGAACAATAATTTTTGTAAATTATTCACAAAGTTTTAATTTAACAGACTGTAAGAGAAGTGCAAGTAAATTATGGTGAAAATAATAGAAATGGACCCGATGAAAGTGAAAATAGAGATTATGAAATAACAACTGGGTCTCAATTGAGTACTAACAAAAAACTACTGTCGTGGGAATGTTTCAATTTAATATTACTAGGACTTACACAAGAAGTAATAGAACTTGGTGCAAAACCATCACTGAAAATTACAATATTGCAAATATGGGTTCAATATTTGCAAGTAATTGAAGCTGCATTCATATCAAAAAAATCAAAAAAATTTCCTAAATTAAATACTTCTATAATTGATACGTATGTGACTGTATTAAATTAATTATTTCTTAAAGAATTTTTCTTTTAGATTAAATTGGATTACATGTGAAAATTATAAGCTTAGTATAAATTAAAATTGTAACGTATACTTATCTCAATATTTATAAGATTCTTACTGAATATTAGTGCTTTTCCAATCGTTTTTATGAATATTGCTTTAAAAAATATTTAAAGTGTATTTTTATTATTTCATTAAGTTAATGATAATAGTTTTATTAAATAATACTAAAAAAAAATAATTTACAATGATAATCTGTTTTTAAATTTTAAACAAAATATTTATTTAGACATCTAGTAAAAATTTAATAAGTATACTATTTTCTGTAAAAAAATTTATTGAAATCAAATGATTTTATTATTTAACATTTATTTTAACTTAAGTTTTATTTTTAAAAATGTGTTGATCCAAGAGATGGTGAAATTTTATATGGGATTAAAAATTTAAAGAAAAGATTATTAGGACCAAAACATGTATATAAAGTACGTGGTAAAAGAGTAAAACTTCGAACAAGAACATCTGTTTCTGCAAATTCAATGAATCAGTCTAACATTTCATCCATTCCATTATCACAAGGTCAACAGCGGTATAGAGTAATGATATAATTTTTATACATTTTTTTATAAATGAAGTATTTTTAATTCAATTGATTACTTTTAGATTAATCGTAGATTGGGTAAATTAGATCTTTCTCTAAGAACTTCTAATACTGATTCGATTATCATGTCTGATGATATCAGTGTGCTACAAAGAAGTTTAAAATCTGGTAAAGTCAAGTAAGTTACATTGTCAAAGATTTAAATGTTTTGTATTGTCAATGTTAATTTAAATTTTTTAGAGTTAAATTGTCTTCATCTATGAAAAAAGCATTGAACTCGATGGATTGTGAATCTATTCCTAATGATGAAAAACCTATCTTAAAAAACGTTCAAAAATCATGGGAGAACATAAAATTTAAAGATAAAAAAAACCATTTGACTTTAAAAAAGTTAATTACTATCATTCGTTTAGGATTATTAATTAATAAAGATGATATTTACTTATCAGATTTACTTAGGTAATTTTTTGTATAAAAGTGTGCTATATGTTGACATTTAACCAATGATTTATTTTATATGTATCTAAAAATTAGTATTACCTAATTTTGTCGAGTTTAACCTTATAACTATATTGTATCTTTGAAAATTATAGGGAGGGTCCTGAATTGTATACCCCTTAAAATACATGACTATCAATATGTGTATAATATTAAAATATATTAGTTTTGAAAAAGTATTTTCTTTTTTAGATGGATTTATGAAGGACATCTTCATGTAAATCGTGTTAATCTTTTTTTACCTCCAAATGTACACCATAGTATTCCATTATCAGCTATGTTACGAAATACATCAAGGCATAGTTTGCATTTGGAATTAGCCATGTTATTGCGGTATTTACAAGCTGAACGACTACCTTCAATTGACTTTAAAAAGCTTGCTGACCGATTTTGTGATGAGTTACAACTTCCTGGTATTATAAATTAATAAATATTTCAATAAAATTAATTATCACTTAATGCTATTTCGCTTAATAATTTAGTTGAAATAAGCCTTATATTATCTATTTATAATTTAATTATATTTTTATAGTTGGTGTCACTGAATTTGTTTGTAAACTACTGCTTTTAATACCACCTAACATGGAGTTCAAAAGAGTTTTACCTGATCCTGAAATTAGTGTTATGTCCTATATACTTTTCGCTGTTAAGTTTTTATTTTGTCTTGATGGTATTTCTGAAGAATTCTCGTCTAGATTTGCAGACAATGTTAACAGGTTAATATATTTTTTCATCAATAATATAAAATGTAAAATTATCAAACTAGGCAAGATATTAATAACTATTGTTACTTAATGTAACTTAAAAATATGTAATATTTTTGTAATTTTATAATTTGACTAACTTGTAATTAATTAAAGAGAGATTTCTATTCTTTCTCAAAGAAAATTAACTTGAAAAATAATAATTCATAGAAAAGTTGTCAGTTCATACATTAAAGACCAATGTCATCCAACTGAAAAAAAAAATATGCTCAAAAAGAAATTCTTCTGTAATTTTGCCTTTTTTTGATAATTTTATAACAATTAAATAGAAAAACCCAAAATTAAAAAAAAATATTAATTTGGAAATGTGTTCTTTTTTGCAACTGTACAATCCAAATTCCAGTTTTATCCAATTATCAAAGCCATTCTAGTAACTAATATTTTAAAAGGCTATTATTTTTATTCTGTTACATAATCTCATAACAGATGTCATTTCTCAAAACTCACATGCAATTTTAATGAATGAAAAATAGATATACTTTTTTGTTTTTAGAACAAATAAAGTAGAAGATAGGTTATTTAGTTGGAATGATTATGTCAAGTTTATCGAATGTAGAAATGCTGTAGTTTCTAAGTATAATTTTCTGCTACATAAACAGTTATATAGTAGTAGTATTAGAAATACTCAATTATTTATAAATGACTGGAATATGATGCAGTCAACATTGCCAGTACAAAAAAGTAAGTTTTAAGTAAAATTTACTATAAATATTTTCTTGAAATTTTGGATATAATTTAACATCCAAATTACTATCAAACTTCAATGATAATAATACATACATGTATACAGAATGATTATTTCAACGCTAGCCACTCAATTTTTTATAAATTTTATTACAATAGCACAAATAATGTTTATGCTACTATATAAAATAATATATAGAGAAAGTAGGCTTGATAGAAGAGGCCAATCAGTGCTGATACTTCATGACGGTGTAATTGTAGATTAGTGAACCAATAGGTTGCAACACCATATTCGCTTGAGGTGCCTTCTGGGGTCACCAGGGATAGAGTGGACAGATAGATCAGAGATCAGGGGGTTTTGATGTTTAATGTTTTATAGTGTAAACGTTTGTTGAATGTTTTAGCAGTTTTTTGGAATGTTGATATGGAGAGATTATGGAAGGTATCATTGGAGACTTAAAATGGGGCTTTAGTTATTTGGTGGAGGCATTTGTTTTGGAAGGTTTGTATTTTATTGATGTCTGATGATTTGGGGGTCCTTAAAACTGGATGCCATATATCTAAATTGGTTTGAGGAGTTATTTGTTTATAAAAAGTTTATTTTTGAGATTGAAGTGTTGTGATGTAAGAAGTAAACGTGATTGACAGAACAGTTGTTTAAGACGACACTTTTAGAATGAATTGTCCGAGTAAGGTGGCGGTCTAGGTGTAAATTCAGGTATCTGATATTTTGGGCAGTTTGTAGGGGTATGTTATTGAGGTAAATATATGGGCAGACTGTTCATTTTAGAGTAATATTAGGATCTTGTCTCATTGATTTTTAATCCCCATTCTTTGTACCAAGTTGATAACAGATTGAGATGTTTTTGAATAAGATTTGTGGCCATTGCAGGATTGGCATCAAGGGCTAGGAGAGCTTTATCGTCGGTGGTATTGGTGTATGGTGTAGTGAGCTGATCCCAGATGAAAAGATTATATAACAAAGGTGCTGCAACAATAGGAAGATCGTATGATAAAGTGTCTATTTTCTAAGTAGATGTTGATAACGTCTTTAATAGTGTGGCCTATTTATTCTAGACTATATCTGTTACTGGGGTGGATAGGTGTAGATTTCTAATAACAACTCTTAGAGATTTGTCGGATTATAACTAATAGGTGTGATATTGGGTGTTAACATCTTTTAGGAAATGTATTAGCTTCCTGTAATTATCCATATTATCTGTATGGATTTTGAGTTTATTCGTTGTTGATTTACAAGAAAAGGTGTCTGGGACAATGATCGAGATAAACCTTTTTCGCAAGCTTATGAAGTCAAGAACACCTTTAATGAAGATAGGTGAAAGTAGTATGTTTTTTATGCATTATTGTTGGTATCCAGTTACTCCTGATTAGGGCCAACAAATATGTTATTGTTGAAGTTAGGTCCTTCAATAGAATGAATAAAATAGTGGTTTGAAGTTATGAATAACTTTAATTCCTTTATGTTGATAGTAGATAATGATTTCGGTAGATAGGATGAGGACGATAATGAACATTTATTATCTTTAGTTGGATTATTATTATTATTTTTTTTTGTTAATTATTTTTAATAATTAACTTATTATTTAATAATTATTTTTAATTAATAAAAAATTTTGTACCTACTCAACTATGATTATAAAAAAAATATAATACTTAATCTAAAAATTAAATACTTCTTACTATCAGTGTTTTATTAATGATTGTCAACAAATAAGTTTTTTACATTGACAGTTATATTTGGTGAAATAAGTAGGATAAATAAATAATAATGTTTAAAATACAATAAATTATTACCATTCATTTCTTCAGTTAGATTTAGATTCTTAAATTTTTTTTAACAAATTAATAGATAGATTAACACACATTTAACAGCTGAAGGTACTAGTAATAAACATTGATTCCATTGAAATGCTTAGAATACATAAAACCCATTCAATATTATAAAAGAATAAAATTACAACTACAAAAATAGGTACTAAAATGTTGCTAACATATTAGGAAAGAAAAAAAAATGATTTAAGAAATTATATATTCAGTATTTTTTTACCTTTGTTGAAAAAAGTATATTCTGAATTTATTGGAAATAATATGCACTAATAGCTTCAAAAAACCAATTATATGACAAATATGCCTAAATATCCAAAATATTCATTGTTAAACTTCATATTTTTGATAAAATTGTTCAGAAATGAATTTGTAGCTCACTTAACATAGTTTCCTAAGATGCAAAAGCATGAACTTATATTCCCTGTTAATAATTTTTATAAATCAATGTCGAAATTGTGTTTTTCATATCAATTAGAACCATTATAGTAAAGTGTAATTCAATTTAAAAAAAACTTAGTAAATTTAAGTGATTTACATATGTAATGTATATTACATAACATAAATCTCTATTTAATTAAAATTTTTAATTATCATTTATTTTTCATATAGAAATTAAATTAAATAGATTAAACTACTTAAAAATTATAAATAAAACGGCATTATACTTCATAAATATATTTTTAAATCAAATGAAGATATTAATTTTTTATTGTCCTATTTTACTTTTAGAGTATCAATTAAATAATGTATTTAAAGACAATACTGAATGTTTATTGAAGTCATTGCCAAATTTTGAAAGAAGTCAAAGTTACAGAGAAATACCTCATTCTACTAAACCACTTACCTCAACACTTAAATGGATATTTGATTTTCATCCAATGGGATTGACNTTAAATGGATATTTGATTTTCATCCAATGGGATTGACTGAAAATGCTAGTAGTATATTACGTCATGATTTCACCAAAGCTGACATATCATATTTAACTAATGAAGAAAGGTATAAAATTATAAATATATATATTTTTTAAATAAGCTTATGTTTTAGTATAATACAAAAAGTCAA